TAGATAATTATAAAATATAATATAATATGCAATAATATAATATAAATTGTAAAAATTACACACATTCAGATTATTAAAGTTAAAGATTATTTATGTAAATAGATGTTTATTTATTTACATTTGTTTAAATTACCTTGTTTATTTGCATTTGTACATTTCTTTTTAAAGAGAGAGAGAGTGTGTGTGTACAATATGAATAATTTTAACGTTTATATAATTTTTATAATTATAAAATATATTATAATTTTTAAATTATACAATTCAATTTAAAGATTATGTAAACAGATGTTTTTTGTTAGTATAATTTTAATTAAGTTGGATATTTCTTGTAATACACACGCACACACACACACAAACATATATATATATATATATATATATATAGTCAAACAAAATAGAAAAAAGTACTCTAGTAAAGTAAATTTGACTAATTGAATAAACTTATTTTAAATTTAGATCCTTATTTCCTCATGCTAGTGGTTTAAAAATCAGACAGCTCATTAATATTTGCTTAGACAAAATGAACACATTCTCGCTCTCTCTCGCTCTCTCTCTCTCAGTGCTTGAGCTTTAGCCAGCCTCTCTCTCTCTCTCCACCCACTCGCTGTGTAAATTGTAACTCGTCACACTCCACATTAAGTCCACGACTGGCAATGCCTGCAGGACCTCAGATCTGCGGTGTGTCATCTCTAACTGGGTCAGAACTCACAATAGCTGCATCTCGCCTTTTGGCTCACTGTAGCTTCTTTTATTCATTGCCAAACTGTTTATTTATGGTACTTGATTTAACGCAGAGACAAGTAACAGACTTGCATACACATAAACACACACATAGAGAGGCTATGTGGAGCTTCTGTTGGAAAATAGCCCAGACAAAGCCCACAGGAGGACAAGAGCATCAGGAGCCGCTCACAGGGGCATTTGAATATTTGTAATTTAGAGGGAAGCATCATCCTTGTAGCTGGTCTTTAAGGCTTGTGTACAGAAACAGTTCACCCAAAATTGAAAATGATCATTTACGCACTTTCATGTTGTTCCAAGCCAGTATTTCTATTAAATACCAGTATTAACCCCATTGGAATGAATGGAATTTAATTAAAAAGACAAAAACGTTCCTCAAAAACAATCCAAATTTATGAAGCCGACATATGTATTTCTAACAAAACAACATTAATATAAGTTTTATATTAAAAACTAAATAAATCAATTTTACTTGCATAAACTTAAAAAAAAGATATACGTTTTTCATGCTGCAATGGTTCTTCAATAGGCTCAGATATTCATGTTAATCAACAAAATTCAGTCCCAAAAGTGTGTGAGATGTGGGGTAAAGCTAAATATATTTTACTGAAGTTTTTTTTATAACTAATATAACTTCGTAGATCATTTTACAAAAATAATGTTTTGATACCTAATGGTACAACATACAAACTCAAACTCGAACACAAAACATTTTGTTAAAAACATTTTTAAATGGTTATATCGCTTAAAATATGATTGCAAACAAATCTGGGGGAAAAAATAGTTGCCTATTTTGAGGGTCTTAAAACGTTTTGTAAAGTTTCATTCCCTTACTAAAAAAAAATATTTGGCATGTAAATTCACTCGCTACACTTTAATAAACCATTTCACTTTAGAAGTGTGGGAATTCTTGAAAACTGAGTACTTCTCTAGCTTTAAATGACGTAGTGGTATTAACTTCTTATTTGAGGCCTGTGCTATATGTTCTTGTTACAGGAAGTGAGACAAATTCCACCCCTCCGTTTTAGTCATTGCGTCGAAAGGAGAGCAAATGGCATTCTCAATCAAATCTGACACAGACGTCTCCTCTGAGAGGCATGGCAGAGTGTGTGGCGGGCCTGGCAGACGTTATTCCTCATAAAGTTTTACGACCTGCATATTCTGTGTTATCAAACCATTAGCATGAAATCAGTACTTACTGGTACACGAGCGGCGGGCCAATCAAAACTGCACGTGACCGGCAGGAATAGCTGCGCTAAATCAGTGAGTTCTTACTGAGGCTGATGGGAAAAACAAGATTCTGTTAACCATGATAATGTCTCATTATGATATATGGATGCTACTGATTAACTGTGTTTAACGCTCACCAATTGATTAAAGTTTGCAAAGATGTGTACCTCACCCTAATAAAATCTTGTTTTGTGTTTTTAGGGGCTCGATTTCTCATAACGTCCACGGGGGCCCTGTACATCTTGGATGTGCAGAAGGAGGACGAATTATTCAACTACCGCTGCATGACGAGACATCGCTACACATCTGAGACCAGACAGAGCAACAGCGCACGGCTATTTGTGCCAGGTAAAAGTGTTTAATGATGTATTATTAGTCAGTCAGCTGAGAAATTCATCATTCCTGTTGCTCTAAAGTTTCAGTGTTAAATCCAGAGCTAGACTAGCTACCAGAGAAGCTACCGCAAACAGAGAAATTATAAGGAGACTTTACAAAAATTTGATATATGTAATATAACTTATAATGTTTCAAATGAGTCTAAAAATTTCTAAAAACTTTAATCCAAAGTGACTTACAGACCATCTTGGGAAAGATCAAACTTACAGTCATGTTCTTCTGGTTGAGCTATAGCTAAAGATGCTAAGTTTGTGATTTACAATTTTCACCAGATTTCGACAGATATTTTGTGAGATTTTAACTGATGTTGTGGGAATGTAAGCCTGACAATTCTCCGTTCAGACAGGCGGACAGATAGATAGATAGATAGATAGATAGATAGATAGATAGATAGATAGATAGATAGATAGATAGATTGACAAATGGATGGATGGATGGATGGCTGGATAAATAGATGAACTGATGGATGGATAAATATATGAACTGATAGATAGATAGATAGATAGATAGATAGATAGATAGATAGATAGATAGATAGATAGATAGATAGATAGATAGATAGATAGATAGATAGATAGATAGATAGATAGATAGATAGAAGGATGGACAAATGGATGGTTGGATGGATGGATGGATGGATAAATAGATGAACTGATGGATGGATAAATAGATGAACTGATAGATAGATAGATAGATAGATAGATAGATAGATAGATAGATAGATAGATAGATAGATAGATAGATAGATAGATAGATAGATAGATAGATAGATAGATAGATAGATAGAAGAATGG